CTACACTTCAGCTATCATAAAAATGGATTTAGTAGTTGAGAATTCCAAAAATCCTATTCACCAGTCATTTTTTTCGAGGTTTTGCCATAGGTTCCACTGATTCCACGGTTCAGTTTTTCTTTCAGATCACCACTTCAGTTGGATGAATGAATTCCTATAAAATGCATATTGGAAAAAACACATCAGTAGCAAAGAATACTATATATATAATATATATATATACATCCCGCAGTCCACAATATCCCATATTCCAAGTACACATTTTTATTTGCTAAACAAAAAAATGGATATCCCGTAGTTTTGAAACAAATAAAATATTGCAAGTACACAAAACAAAGCACGATATCCAACTGGCACATCATCCCGCAACTTAAATTGATCCCACAAACAGAAAACGGTCATAAAATGATGTAATCCCTGAAAGCTCTAGAAAAAATATGAAAGCCCACAAACATTCAAACAAAATATACAAACCTGGTTGGTGGTTTGGAACATTTTCTATTTTCCATATATATTGAAAATAATCATCCCAACTGGTCCGAACTCCATCATTTTTCAGAGGGGTTGAAGCCACCAACCAGTAAACATAATTGCCCTGAACATTTTCGCCTTCCATGTTGGCCTCCTGCGCTGCCGGCGCGCTACCTTTTTCTGGCCACGGGATTCCCCGCACGCTGCCGTGGTGGCGCGTGCGCCAAAGGCGCACACTGCCGGGACCATGTCTTTGGGCCATGGATCTTACAGATCTACAGATCTTACAGTAGTTAAGTGGTTGTAATGTGGTTAAAACAAGAATAATCCATCCCAAAAAATCACCATAAATGGGTTGTATAAACCATAAAAGATTTGGTGGTTTATTATTGCTTTACCCACAATAGATGGCTATAGTATCTGGGTAAATTATAACGATCTCACTATTCTCTCGAACCCTGGAATCATGGTTAATAAGGGGAATCATCCCAAAATGGCCGAACTTTTCAGGTTAGTGAACTATTAAAATTTGCCCAGATAGTATATGTGTGTATATGTTCTAGTAAAGTTTGGGCTGTATATGGTTGTATCTTATAATTGGGATATCCCGATTATGGCCCCTGAACAATTGGAAACATGAAACGAACCCACATATTGGCAATCGAGGTCAAAGATGTTGACCGACTTCCATACTTGTTCTTCGCACTTGTCATTAGTTCTACAAAATATACATTATACATTCTCAGTCTATAAGTGTGTCTCTATCACTCTCAACCATATCCAGCGTTGCAGAATCTGTCGAATGACCACCCAACTCCTGCCAGAATCCAGGCATCGTTCAGCTGGATGAATGTCCCTACAAAATATTCGACCTACACCTTGTACCTCCTACCTAAGCATCATGATCAAACTACAGGAGTGGATTCCAATATGCAATTAAACTTGAATCACGATTTAAATCGTTACTGTACAGTTTGTAATTTTGGACATACTCGTATGGTCCCTCAATCGTTTCTCTTGTATACTTCTACCTGTGCCTGCTAGGGGTGAACTCAAGATCTAATCCCTTTTGTTGCTGGTTCATTGCAGAAGAATTAGCTCTGCATTTAATACTTTGATGACATCTGGGAAAGGAGAGCGAAGAAAGAGCACGAGTTATCAGAACCAATATGAACAGAGTTAACTTGAGTGAACTCAAGATTGAATTCTATCACAACAGTTTCCAAGCATCCGATGGAAACAAAAAAACCTAAGGCTTTACCGGGAAAGGAATATGAAAGCAAGAAACGGAAAGTAAAGAGCATAATAGAACAGGAGAGAACATGAGAAACAAAGCAACGGGCGAGAAAAGTAAGATAAAGGCATTGGCATTGACTCAAAAGTTAATGCCTTACATTTGCGGCCAATGCTAACCCTGAAAGGTAGGGAGTTATATAACTCTGGAGTTCAGCCTTGCACCATTGACCTGGAAACGCAAACGGATGATGAAGGATTGACACAAGATTTCAATTAAATGTTGAATCCATTCCCTTCCACCATGATCAAATGGGCATACCCTCTGGTAAACTAACATAGCTATGGAAAGATCCACCATTTTTCATGGGAAAATCCACTATTTCTATGGCCATTTTCAATAGCTATTTTGACATAACCAGAGGGTATGGCTCAAATTTATTTACCTGCATGCTCTGGCTCCAAACGGTGCCCCAATGCCTTGACTCACGATGGGGCAGCTTGACTGGTGATCGCTAAAAAATGGATTATCATCCCCAAAGGCATCTACTCATCCAACCGATCACCAGTTATTCCCTGGCAATGGCAATCCAACATGGCTTGTTGGAAAATTCCCCCGTTTGCTTCGATGACGTTTTCCATAAGACCCACATTTTAAGAAATGGACTCTCCATCCCAAATGCTCCATGGTGCTGGAATATGTACACCAACATTTACCCAAACAAAATCACCCAGTCATGTAGGTTTGTATATACCAGCACCATTTTCTTCGCATATGGGCATCACTTGCAGCGAGGCCACTCCAACTGCACGCCCTGCACGCCTTGTGGCGTCGCGATGCCGGAAACCACTGGAGTCCCAGCCGGGCCATTGCCACGTTGCGGGACGCTGCCGTGGGTCGCACCGGTCGCTTGCGTTGGCTGCGGGCGCCGGCGGAGACACGGCGGCCCGTGAGCACCGAGTCCAAAGGGACGGAGGAAAAGTCGCAGAAGCCGACTGTCAGGCTGGGCGGGCTGGGCCATGATATGATTCAAAGCGATTGTGGGTGTAGCTGACCCTAAAGATATATGATACAATATGATACAATCATCTACTTAGATGGATCATTGTTGGCCAGTTAAATGGCTAGTAAATGTTGGGTAGATATCCTTTTTTCATCGGGGATGCAGAGATTTTTTGTGCGTTCTAAAGTTGGGCTGTCAACCCAGTTACTAACCAGTGGAAAATCAATACCATTGCGTACATCTAACTGGGCACAGAGATCAGACCCCTACTGCACCAGCATTTAGGCCTCTAACTGGATGATATTCCGTTGGAGGATGTTTGGGGCATGTGCCCAGTGTAAAAGCTGGAAAGCTGGTAGGACCCCATCAATGTAGAAAGGGTGATATCATGCGAAAGGGGTGATATCATGGGTTTGTCTAAGTCCCCCTCAGGGTACTCCACCCCTGGGGGCCAAGATGTATATTGATTTCCATCTAACAGTGATCAATGAAGCCTTATTAAGCCCTATCATGTGAGATGTGTTTCCAAGAATGAGGACCTGTACCCAAGACTTCTGTGTGATGTTGATATTCTTTCAATGGCTTCAGGTACCTAAATTGGAGGTAACCATATATAGAGCCTACGAAAGGGCAAAATTTCAGGGGATGTGCCTCAAAATATTGCTTTGTATATGGTAGAGTAGCTCCATTTTAGGGTCCTGAAAATCCCATGAAGGCTCATCTGGGATCCAAATTCCACGAAGGTTCCATGGTAATGTTCGCACGAAAAGGGCCTTAATGATACCATGGTAAACTGAGACTTTGCTATATTGGACAATCAGCCCTTTTTCAGTTCAGTAAATCAACAAACTAATTGGCAATTGTCCATAGCAATTCTGCAACTGTGAGCCAGTAGGGTTTCGCAGACCAGTATATGATTTATGATTTACCCTCTGGTAATTTAACATAGCTATTGAAAATGGCCATTTATAGTGGATTTACCCATTAAAAATGGTGATTTTCCATAGCTATGTTAGTTTACCAGAGGGTATGAATTATTTGCAGTTCTGCTTCTGATTTCTTGAACCCTCCATGGAAAATAATCTGAACTGTGAATACTGAATACATCTGAATACTGTACCCGAACCACAATCGGACCTGCTACATAAGTTTCAACAGAACTACAAATTCTATGAGGGCTCATTATAGTGCATTTTGGAATACCCATTAACCAACCATTTTGACGCTGCTCATATCATTTTGCAGATCACTGCTTCAATGGACAATATATCATGAAATCCCACGAGATCAGACAAATTCAGAATTATCCTCCTATGATATCATAAAACATAACTTACAATTATCATAACAAACTCATAGCATATCCTACAAATGCGGCTGGAAGGAAGTGTGGATTCGCATCCTGGTTCAGCCGCTAGCCCACACCCAGCAGAAGTTCCCTGCCTGCGAGCCCTTCCGTGCACCGAGCAGATCTGATGGAGTGGTTTGGATCCGCAAAGTCCTCCAGACCGACCTTCGACAGGTCCAACTACAAGATGGCCTCAACTTCATCTCCCAAATGGTCCATGGTGCTGGTATATTTACCTACATGACTGGGTGATTTTGTTCGGGCAAATGTTGGTGTACATATTCCAGCACCATGGAGCATATGGGTCTGATCGGTGTGGACACCATCGTGGAACTGCAGCCGCCCAATCAGTGCAGTCTCACAACATATCCATGAAATCCCAGAAGATGTTGCAGCATCAAGGGAAAAACCCATCAATGACTCAAATGACATTAATTATATTTGGTTAAGAATAGAATGACAACCATACCATAAACCCTAGGATAAGATATCACAGGATGTCATGGAATCCCGCAAAATCCATCAACAAATCCACAGACAAACCATAAAATCCCATCAAAATCTCTCAAATCCCATAACATGCCATAGAAAACCACAAAGTTCCTTAAAAAAAACTGAAAAAATGGCCATGCACTGCCTATCTCGCCCTCCGGCGGCCTGTCTCGGGGCGAGGCGGTTGATGGCTCTGCTTTGGCCAGACCGAGCACTTCTCTCAGTGCCTTGGATGGCCAAAGGTGAGGATCTACCCAGTGAAACCATGTGGATTTCTTCGAAGGATATCCTTATGTAAATCGCATGATGTGTTAACATAGGACCTATGTTTGGGTATGGTTTGGTATACCGATACATAAAATGGTTTAAGGTAGATCTCGTTGGGATTGAACAAAAACATTCGGAAATATGGGATGTATACATAAACAGCAATTATATCAATATCAGGGATGTGATTGAGATTTAAACCATGAATTTCTATGAAGATTCATAGCCAACCATGTTGCGGGATATTCACTGGGATACTTATTATATATATATATAACCAGCAATGTGACTTAGATTTTTTGTCTGAAAATGGGGGGATACCCCAGACACTGCGATTTCACTATAGCGTTGAGCTCATCGCAAAAGAAACATTTTGAGGGAAACATTATGATTCACTAGTGGCCAAAATTGGGATAACCGGTTTTTTTAAACAAGCCCAAATACTCATGGCATCAAACAATCCTAAATGCATCTAAGTGCTATATTCCAATCCCAAAAAAGGTTGCGGGCGTATAATAGGAGTATAATGGCACCCCGTTGCGGATAACTCCCCGGCACACCGTCCCAATGATGGACAATTGTTCCCGCATGACATCGTCGAAGGAAAGATCTGCCGTCGTTGCGGCCTGATTGACATAAACAGCAGACATTGTTAAGGCCATATTTCGTCCTCATGTTGCAGACATAGAAAAATAAGTTCAACTTACCCTCCTGTAAACTAACATAGATGGAAAACCAACCATGAATGTAGATATTTTGTTCAAAGGATACCATGTTTTTCCACACTTTTTGTAAGTTGACCCTAGGGCCCTAGCAGTTTCTCAAGAAACTCAGGTGGCGTTTTGCTTCCTCGTTGGTGCTGCTGTGTCCCAGGTGGAGTGGTCACCATGGTCGGTTTCTTTTTTTAGACACCCTCTTTTAATCGTGGCTGGCCGGGGAAAAAACATCAATGGAGGTTTGAATGTTTGAATGATAAAATCATCGAAGTAACTTTGTGGAAAATGCCATATAAACCATCCATATGGGTGATGCAGTGATGCCCTATTTTAGGAAACACCCAAATAAATGCAAATGGGTAATACTGTATCATGTGACTTTCTACAAGCATTTGATCTGGTTCCAACTCTTAGTACTCCCTGACACCTTGGGGTAATTCCACTGACAAGTGGCTGTTTCATAAACCAATAAACCAAACATATATATATATATATAACTATAGTTCGATATGTCTACCATATACAGACATTTACTCAACAGTTCTACATAATGGGTCCCCCAAGATAGCTAAGTTGCAGTATAAGTGGCTTAACTATGGTTGATATAACTATAGTTAAAGGGGTTTACCCTCTGGTTATTTAACATAGCCATGGAACATGGCCCATTTATAGATGATTTTCTCATTAAAACCTCCATTTATGAGGGATTTTCCATGGCTATGTTAAATAACCAGATGGTATAAAAAAAACTTATAACTGGGGGGCACCATCCTGTAGTAACCACTTTGCAGGAGCTGGATCCAAGGTTTAGGGTGGACCAGTGTCCCAATATATTATCAGTGGGCCTCAACCTTGGTTGTAAACCACTTGCGAACTGGAGTACATAATAGTATATATATATAACATATAATTACTTTACTTCGAGTCATCCCCACCATGACATTTATACGTTTTGTTACTGGCAATTCTTCTGGCATTCTATCTGACATATCTTCTGGCATTCGATCTGGCATTCTATCTGGCATTCTATCTGGCATATCTTCTGGCATTCTACCTGGCATATCTTCTGGCATATCTTCTGGCATTCTATCTGGCATTCTATTTGGCATATCTTCTGGCATATCTTCTGACATCCTATCTGGCATTCTATCTGGCAAATCTTCTGGCATTCTATCTGGCAAACATTCTGGCACTTTATCTGGCATACCTTCTGGCACTTTATCTGGCATACCTGCTGGCATTCTATCTGACATTCTATCTGGCATACCTTCTGACATTCTATCTGGCATATCTTCTGGCATTCTATCTGGCATATCTTTTGGCATTCTATCTGGCATATCTTCTGGCGTTTTATCTGGCATATCTTCTGGCAATCTATCTGACATTCTATCTGGCGTTCTATCTGGCATATCTTCTGGCGTTCTATCTGACATTCTATCTGGCGTTCTATCTGGCATATCTTCTGGCATTTTATCTGGCATATCTTCTGGCATTCTCTCTGACATGCGATCTGGCGTTCTATCTGGCATATCTTCTGGCATTCTATCTGGCCGTTGAGGTCCAGCGGTGCTCACTGAGCTCGGAAGGTGCTCACTGAGCTCGGCGGGTCCCAGGTTGAGGTCCAGCGGTGCTCCTGAGCTCGGATTGTCCCAGGTTGAGGTCCAGCGGTGCTCACTGAGCTCGGCAGGTCCCAGGTTGAGGTCCAGCGGTGCCCAGTGCGCTCAGACCCTTGCAGTTGAGGTCCAGCAGTGCCCACTGCGTGCGGAAGTTGGCGAAGAGCTTGGCGAAGAGTTGGCAAGGCGGAAGTTGACATGGAAGTGGCAGAAGTGGACCTGGAAGTGGATGCAGAGGTGACGGAGGAGAAGGAGGAGAAGGAGAAGGAGAAGGAGAACAACTCTGATAAAATCTAACCCTCACCTGGCAGGCGGGGAATAATATACGGAAAACAAAAAAATACCCTTTGACCAAATTCTACATCGGTGATATAGCCTTAGAGCTAAGGACCATGTTTTTCTTGTATGCTGCCTGAAACTAAGGCTTCACATAGACCACGCACATGCTAGGTCCTGCTAGGTACAGCACCAGGTAATCGTCCGCGGCTCCGCGACACAGCCCTGATCGTGTCTGGGGTCACGACCGGATCGTCTCTGGATGCACAGCAGTCATGGCCACGAGCCGGCGCACAGCCGATGGATCACTTGAGGTCATCCTGCTGTTCACAAAGAATGGCTGGTAGATGTGGTTTTCCGCCCAGTCCTTTGGTATATAGTTAATCCATCCCAATCTGTACATGGTAAAACGGTAGCAATTACCTATACCAATCCCAAGAATCAATGCGAATCTTGGGCTATGGGGGAACCACCACACCCTCCCGCCCTGGGTCTGTTTCCACGGATCGAGTTTTCGGGATCCCCACAAAGGTTCTACCTTCCGAGAATCAAACATGGCAATTGAACATCCACCATCCTTTGATGATGTTCAATGATTTTCTCATTTCAACCTCCACTTCGTTTGGGGATTGGGACTTAAGACCTCCATTTAATTCAATGCTTTTCCCATGTAAACCTGAGTAAACCTCCATGTTTGTTGGGAAATTCGGATAATTCGGTGGAAGGCCTTTCTTCCGCACTGCCTCAGCGAAACGTTGAAAGTGATCATCGATGCGTGCCATGGCGATGCTGCGAAATCTCAAAAAAAAACAACGAAATGTGGGCTTTTGATGTTGGAATTTGCAGGTACCCGGCCTGGTAAACATACTATTGAAAATGGCCCAGTCGAAATAGTGGATTTTCCCATTAATTGCATGGTGATTTTCCATAGTTTTTTGTATACGTTTACCGGGCCGGGTAATTTCATAGAATTGACACCCTGTTGCTTGATTACTGTATGGAGTTTTCCTAAGTCACGGGGGATCCCCCCGTCGTCACCATTGCTTTCAAGCAATACTTTTTTACGGTCCATCACGATGATTTGGTGGTCCCATGGATTGGAAAACTCCTTAAAAAACGGGAAGATCACCGGGGGTTCAAATTCTACCTTCGGCACACTAAAAAGAAATGGTTTTTCAGATAGAAACATACTTCGGAATATTCTGGACATGATTGTGGTGTCAAGAGGGTAAATGATCCTTAAGTAGGGGGTTCCAACTTAACTCACTTTTCTTAGTGATACAATCCATTTCTGAATTGGTGGTTTCAGTCTGTTTCTGAATCATGTTTGAGTTTGGGGTAACGACCCCATGGCTAAACGTTTCCGGTTGGGAACTTATAATTTATCTGTATTTAAGTATTTATCTCTATATATATATATCATATTGGAGGTTAGTCATGTCCCAAACACTGCACCCAAAAAACTGGTTTAACTGAAGTTGGTCATCCCCAGAATCATACGGCTGGTTGGTGGTTTGGAACAAGCCGCGTGGCCCAAGTCCTGTCAGGGTGGTGTGGCTACGCCGGCTAATCCTTGGGTGTGTTGCTGCGCATTGACTGCCATGGCATTGGATCCATTCCCCATGGAATTTTCGTCGGTGTCGAATGGTGATAGAATCACTTTGGTCGTTGATCTTCTTACGTTTGACCCTACTCATGACTCCCATTTGCTCCAGGTCAAGCATTCGGGTATGTTGTGTTTTTACACTGGTTTGCTTGAAGCAGGGTTCAGTTCGTACACAATTTGTGATGCTGTTTTGGGATGTCAGTATCCTATGCCTCGAATCATTTGTGGAGAAACTACCAGAGTCCTCTCACATGCACGACCTGGATGGCATGACTTCCGAAAGATCATTGATGCCTGTTCAGGTTTCGGTGGAGTTGCACATGGAGCTATGGCATTGGGTTTGAATACCACTGTAGCGGTTGATTTCAATGGTAAGATGCTTCATTTACATTCCAAGCATGATGGAAGTGAAGTTGTTTGTGGGGATGTGGGGCACAATGAGACCATTTTTAAGATTTGGCAAAGGTCTGACCGAGCAGCAATCATGACTGGGGGTTTTGCATGTCAGCCGTATAGTGCACTAGGTGACCAGAGGGGTAAGGATGATCCGAGGTCAGCTTCCCTGACCAGTGTGCTCAGAGCTGCGTACCTGTTGCAAGTTCATGTGTTAGTGCTAGAGCGCGTAACACCTGCCAGAAAGAATGCATTCGTTTCCCAATCCATTGATGCCTTTGTCAAACTGATGAACTTCCGGAAGGAGGTGGTTGATTTGCATTTGGAGGCTATTTGGCCTTGCAGGAGAGCACGTACATGGTGGGTTCTCACGAGTCCGGTCCTGGGTCCTGTTGGTCTTTCAGATTGGCAAACCATGTCAGATGTTGATGTCGTCCAGCGGCTCATTCCATATGTTTGCAAATGGCACCCCCAAGATGAACTTGCTTTGTCTCTTGATGCCAAGGAGCTGACTGCTTTTGGTTTTGAGGATGGGTCTTACACCAAATTCCTTCTGAAGCCTAGGGATGTTGCTCCATGTTTTTTGCATGCCTATGGATCGCAGTTAAGAGCCTGTCCGTGTGGTTGCCGCAGTGGTCCTCTGTCTGCACAAAGGTTAGCTGAGAAGGGTCTCTTTGGATGCTTGCTTTGCAGTGCCGCTCCGCCTGATGAGCTTTCCAATTTAAGGCACCTTCATCCCAGTGAAGCTTTGATTTTGGTTGGCATGGATCCCATTGTGGATTTTGGAGAAGATGTTCGCTTGACGTTGTCTGCCATTGGCCAGATTGCGAGCCCACTTCAATCCCTTTGGGTCCTTAGTTTCATTTCGGCACGAGTTGATGAACTCCGACATGGACACTGTGAGTTTCCACCTTTCACACAGTTGCAGGCATTTCGGTCGTGGCTTCTCATGAGGTCGAAGATTGTTTGGCCTTGCAATGATGAAATGCTTGATGATCCCAAGTTGGTGCATTTTGTTGATTGCTGGAAAGGCCATGGTGATCTGTTTCTCACTATTCTGTCAGGTGGGCTGATCTCATAGATCGCGATGTTTCAATTGCTGCCATTCTTGATGCTGTGATGCGTCAGGGTTTGAACTCCGACAACGCCCCTGATTGTCAGTCAGTGCCTGATGAACCTGAAACACCATGGTTTGACACGTGTGTCATTGACCCCAAAGGGGAGCCTTGCATTCAATGTGATAAGTGTTTCATTTCGTTTCTTGACGCTGATGAGCATACGGTGCCATTGATGTTTTCAGGTGGTGGTGCTGTGAGTGATTTCCTTACTGCCCATGCGAAACTGGTTGGACCTTTCTGGGTTGGCAAACTTCTTGATGCTGAGGGAAAGGAACTGCCAATGTCTCATGTGATTCAAGTTGGTCAGCATGTTCAAGTTGGTTTGTCATCTCCCGGTGTTGGGGTCCCGTTTGGTGTGCATATCTGTCACGATCTCATTGGTCCTCATGCTCTCTTGTCTGGTGATGTTGACATGGTTGCCTGTGGACAAGGTCTGAATCCCACCATTTCCCCTGAACCTGCTCCAATCAAGCTGCTGCGGGAATCCGGGCCACTCCCTAAATTGCCCGTTGGTATTTTCATGCGGGAATCCGGGCCACTCCCTAAATTGCCCGTTGGTGGTGTGCCAGGGGAATCCGGGCCACTCCCTAAATTGCCCGATGGTGATGTGCGAGCGGAATGCGGGCCACTCCCGAGAATGCCCGCTGGTGCACTGGATGACAAGCCTGAAAATTCGCACAATGCCTGTGTTGAGGCTGCATTGAAACCTAGGGGTGTTCCTGATTCCAAAATTGGCTGTGAGGGCAAGCCTTTGAGCGTTGACCCAACTGCTACCTGGACGCATCCCTGCTGTGCAGGACCTGATGCTGACATGAATGATGGCTCCAATCAAGGTCTGACCTGTGATGTTGGAGTTTGTTCTGTTGTTGGTCCTGTCAACAATGGTGCCTGGGGTGCTGCTGATTCCCTTCTTGCTTTGGACTCCCATCAGTTTCTGAATTTGCTTGTCCCGTGCGTTGCTGACCTTCCTCGGCTTCATTCTCTGAGACAGCAGTTTATACGGGGTACTGATCGCTTGCAGTTGTTGGGTAAACATCAGGAACTTTGGGCTGATGATGAGATTCGGTTTCATTTGTATTCCATGCAGCAGGCTTTCTTGAAGCATCCGAAGACCTCTCCGTGCCCGGGCCTGATCATCATTGACCCACTGGTTGCTTCGGCCTGGATCCAGAATCGTGCTTTTGCTTGTGAACAGTGGGCTGCCGCTCACCCTGAAGTACGTAGCCAAAGTTTACAAGTGATTATGGTTGTTCGGCTTGAAAAACATTGGATCCCAGTCCAGTTTGTTCCTATTGGCCAACATGTGAATGTTTTCACCTGGGATGCGCCTGACAACTCGCATGATGAGCTCAATGGTATGATTGAAAAGTTGGTGATGGCATGGGGGTTCTCCACATTCCTTATCCATCGACAGCAACGAATGTTCTTCTCCAGTCGGTTGTGTGGGGCTCTTGCAGTGCATTACATTCAACATGTGCTTTTTGGGACTCAACTCCCTACTGCTCAGGATGAGGCATTTGCTTCTCATACCAAATTGCGTGATAGGTTTGTGGCTTGCCTGAGTCAGAATGCGTTGGTGATGAGGCCGTGGCTTTGGGGTCATGGTGATGACGAGGAAACTGAGCGTGAATGGCCTTCTTCCCCGCCGTCTCCAGACCAATCCCCGGTCACTGGTGCTGGTGCTGCCGCATCAAGTAGTGAGATTCCATTTGCTAGTGATTCGAACCGACTGCTCTCCACACACTTGTGCATTTCACTTGATGATCGACTAGATTTAATGAAGTCGCATGGCCGTGATCTTGCGGATGATGAGATCCGATTTCATTTGAACGTCCTGGTTGATCAGCACAATGCCTCGAGACACATGTCTGCCCCTGCCAGTCCATATGTGTGGGCTTTTGATTGCCTGAATTTCTGGAACTGGGATGATGTGGGGCATATCCTCACAGAAAAGTGGTGTAGGGGATTTCCGTCTGTCCGTGAAGAGTCCCAACAAATTGTCACGGTGATGCATGTTGATGACCACTGGCTGCCTTTTTGGCTGGTTCCTGGAGGACGGGTGTTGGTGGCCCATACTTTCAATGATTGGGTAGACTGGGATATTGTTGAGGGAAAAATTCGATGGATGGGTTTGCACCTTGGCTTTGAGGACACCGTTATTCACAGGGTCCCAAATGGTTTGCCTGATCACCGTTTATGTGGTCCGCATGCTCTTGCTTTCCTTGCTCACATCTTGTTGCGAGTTGATTTGCCTGAGACCATCACTGAACTTGAAGACATGTTCACTGGACAGAGAGCCTCTTTTGTCCAGGAAAATTATGCTGATCGTGCCTGCAGGTGTCCGATTATCTGGGGAGCTGGAGGTAGTGGTGCTTTGATTAAGTCCTTGTCTGATGAGCTCCTGCGGCATGGTGTTCCTGCTCAGCTGACTGAGGCACGTGCTTCTCAAGCTATTAAAGCGATTGGGTCGGAGCAGTTGGTACAGGCATTGCAACACAAGCAACCATGGCGCCAGCTCAAGGCGCTAGGCAATAATGTGAACTTCAAGTTTGTATTGCCATCAGAACTTGCTGTGGTGGTTGAGAACAACAAATCCAAACCAGTTGGCAAGAAATCTTCCAGAGAGAAACCGTCTCCTGGAATTCCTGCTCCGATCGA